CTCTTCTACTAATTTACTCTAATCCTTCCTAAAATAATTTCAAGTGCCGCGGCTATTGAGTATTCCCTTTTTGTCAACCTACATTTTGATATGTCACTTTTGAAAAACTTGCGAAAAATGCGTTCTATAAATCTAGCACAATAAAAACTGTATACCCCACAGTATTTAACATTACGCTACCATATCAATTCTTTCAACGATTTCTTCATTACATGCTACACATTTCTTGTCGCCGAAAAGTTAGTGAAATGGTACAATATAATGAGTTTTAAAGTGTACTTCCAGTAAACGGAAATAGTATTTATGTAGAACTGAACATCAATGGAATGCTTGTTTGTTTTTAAGCTCTAAACTACACAATGGGCTATCTGCGCTATGCCCATTGCGATGAATCCATCTCCGGATTTTAACATGGTAAACTCTCAAGCTTACGGGGACACACACGGAAATGCTTGTTTGAACTAGAAGGAAGGCAGTTAATCGACATTAGCCAGAGCCAACTGTTGGGACACTGTAATCGAATGGTAGTATCTGACCGTTACTGTTATAACACATCCACGGCCGCAAAAATGCAGAGCGTGAATTTTTGGCAATGAGACGCGAACTATGGGGGCTCTCGAATTCACATTTTAGCACGTTAACCACTTGGCCACGCCCAGAAGTGGAATACAAGTTATGCGATTTCGTGATACAGGGTGGCGTTGTTGGGCACGAAATATTAAGGAAATTCTAGGTTAAAAACCACCGATGAAAGAAAACAAAATTTTATTGCAAATGTTTTTTTTTCTTTTTCTGCTGAGTAAAATGATTTATGTGCTGACTATAAGTGTCTCTGAGGCTGAACGTATGCATTTGTGTGCATGTATGCGCGTGTTTCAATGATCTTTCTAGTAATCATTTTAGTGATAATTAATTCCAGTGATGTGGTGAAGTTCCAATAAAAGTTTTCCTTATTATTTTTTTTCTTATAAATACATTTTCAACTTTAGAAAGTTCCATAAAATAACACTAATCAATTTTGATGTCACTATGGTTTGATTCTTGTTTCATTCTAAAATTTTCTGCCCACTTTTTATAGTCGCACTGAGGCCTAGGGCGGGAAAAAAAGGCAGACTGAAGTTGAATTTCCTAAAAGCAACTCTGTTACTCGTTTCACGCCATGCTAGGTTTCTTTAGATATATTGTGCAATAAACTGTGCAAGAGAATACAGAACATCGACAGGAAATTTACACTGTAAAAATCAAGAAACAAATATCATCAGAAAGACTAAAAGCTATGTATAACAATTAAAAACTGTATGCCAGCCTTTTGTGGTTCAATTTTCATTTGTATGCATATTTAAGATTCTTTAATTATCTCAAATTAAAAATAATTTAATCATTTAACTCAGACTTAAGACTTTTTTGCGTTCCGCAACTCTCTACCCTATCCATTAAGCTACACCCGACCCCTTAAAAAAAAAGTTTTGAATAGAATGGAGAATCTTGGAAACTCGTGTGAAATTACTTAACAAAATGACAATCTACCATATTTTTTTATTATAAATGAAAACGTTCAATTCTACAGATAAGGTTGTCTCATTTTGTCTTCTGGCAAATTAATTGGTATCTCCGAGTCTCAACAAAGTTTGCATTATTTCGTCTTTTTTTTTCTTTAAACAAGAGTTTGTTCTTTCGTTATGTTGTTGCACCAAAAGAAGTCAAGCCTCACCCTTAAGGTTACTATCAATTTACTGGTAATTGCGTCATGGATGAATAATGGTAAAATTCTGTCTACAAATGGGTCCTAATGAGGTAATTCCCTTTTTATATATGTGTTGTTTGTTAATAGTTTCAAGAAATGGAGTGAGTCACAAAGGTCTTACTATGTACCGAAGGTGTTTCACTTGTATATAAAATAGAGATTTATATCTTTTAGGACAGTTTATCTAAAGACGTGTTTGTAGCTTCGTTTCTGCTTTTGTGAGTATTACCTTTGTATTTCACGAAGACACTTTTTGTAGAGCTATGTTTAGCTTACATTAAGGGAACCAAGTTAACTGTGGAGTGTTTTCTGATGAAGATAAAGGATATAAGTTTAACTTCCAATTAGCTGAAAATAATTAGCTTCGAACCCCAGGAATATCTAATAATTTGTTAGCTAGCTGCTTTTTTTCCCAACTATATAACGGGTTGTTTAAAAAAATCTCTTACTACGAAAAACTGGCTAATTAATTTCGCTGCCCGAGAAGAATAAGGAATAATACAGTACTGATGAACCTTTTCATCTGACTTTGAGGATTTTTTATCCCTTATATGTGAGAATTTTAATGTATACGACTAATTACATTGGCCAACCGTTTTAGGAGATTTTCTGAGCTACAGCCCGATTCCCGAACAAAGTTTGACCAATAGTTCTGCACGATTGCAACTGTTTGCTACAGACCATGTCAACATTTTTTTTTTTTTTTTTGTTCTCAGTGTATAGTCAGGCTAGAGAACTTGCATACTTAGCTAATGGAAGGGGGGGGGGGGTTAGGTGGGAAAAAAAAAAAAAAAAAAAAAAAAAAAAAAGAAGACAAAACTAAGTGATTACTTTCATCTTTAAACAACACTAGATTATCAATAACTTCTTTTGAAGTAAGAAGGTTCGAGCGTGGCTAGTAGTTAAGGTGTTTAGACTGAATCCGAGGGTTAATGGTTTGCAGCCCGTTATTTTTGGGCCGTTGGTGTGCTAGAAAGGTGACGGCAAATCCCACTATACGATTAGACAAGAGTAGTCCAAGAGTTGGCGATGGGTGCCGCTGATTAGCTGCTTTCCCATTAATCTATAAACTCAAAATTAGAGACGACTTCGTGCGAACATTCTGAGAAAAAAACGCACACACGAAATATTGATTATAAGAATGTTTTTGCAAGTGTTTAAAAGTAAAACGAATAAAATATAATGATGTTAGGGTATACTTAACAATGTATACTCGGTATCTAATAAGCCAATTATTTTATGTCTCATTTTTAACTATTCTGTTTTAGCAAGTATGACGACCAATAACATCAATTAGTTGCAAGTTTGACAACCTTCTACTAAATTTCAAGATGATTTATTATTATTATTATAATTATACAACATTAATTTCCATAAGCCATTTATCGCCGAGATGCTTTTTGGGAGTTAAGTTGATAATTTCGTCATTTTATAGAACCAAGATTTTAATGTCGCGAATTTGCTGATAAATAAATGTATAAACAGGTTTTACGTGGAGTAATAGTCGTGTCACTTAAATATCCGCCCCCTCAGTTTCTGCGGACTTAGAACGCTAGAATCCGGGTTTCGATACCCGTGGTGGGCAGAGCACAGATAGCCCATTGTGTAGCTTTGTGCTTAATTACAAACAACTTAAATATC